CCCAGACAGCCTTTTGCAGAATGCATCCATGTGCAGGCAAAGTAAAAATGAGTCGCCATCCCAGCACCATTCTCTGCTCAACAAATCATTAGACGTCATAAGCTTTTCTCGCAGTCCACAATTCCTTGTGAGGCAGCACAAGTCTTGCATTGCTTCCCATGTGGTGTCTAGACTCCGATATGGCGTCATGACAAACAGAGGAAGCAGTCTACCAGGAACTAAAAATGCTTGGATAGAAACACCCCAACCCCCAATGTGCCCCAGCCCCGCGGGGCGACAGGGTGCGACAGGGAACAACAAGGAACACAAAACACAGAAAGTGACTCCCAGCAGTGTGCGCAAGACTACATTTGGACTTTGTAGTCTGTGGAGATCGTGTTGTGGACATTCTGCGTGAAGACCAATGCCAGATACTCCCTTTGCAGCAGCAACGGCTGCAACTGCTCAGTTTTCAAAAAAATGTGTTCAAAAGATTCACACAACATGCAGCAAGGCCGTGCCCACATCCACCTGTTTCATGCAGTCCAAAGACTCACACAGCCTGCTGCATTTCCACTTGTTCCAGCTGCCACATTCAAGGTGGTGATGGCCATGAGCCCATGCCAATTTCCCGAACACGATGACAAAGTCCTCTTTGCTGCCATCGAAGTCCAGGTTTGCTTACAACCTGTTGAGTGTGCAACAAGACAAGGGAAAATGGGTCGGGTGGCATGGCAACACTTGCGGACTTCATTCTCAGCCCCATTTATGCATGTACAGCCACAGTGACAGTTTGGCCCACTCAGGGAATGAAAATCGGCGCTGTCATCCTATCTGGAGATACACAACTACACAAACGAGGTACATAAGATTCCATGTTGAGGATCCATTTGGCAAAGCAAACACTATCCAATGTGTGCTTCAGGAGGACATTGCTGGCAGCATTCCAGAGGTGGGCTAGAAACCTGTTTTGAGATCTATTGGCAATGAATAGGACATCGCACAATTCATCCCTGATGCCCAGAGTCATGGGATAAAGCAACAATGCACACAAAGTCCGACACACGGCCAATCCACTTGAGGAAGAATGGCTAATGCACGTGAACGGCACCCCTTTTGTGGCAGTGAGTACATGGTCATCCAACCACCTGGCCTTGTTCACAAGCACTGTGGCTGAGCATTTGCCACTTCCAAGCCAGCAAACAAATGCCCACCAGATGTATGTGAAACCAATGTTGGGCAGATTGTGCCACAAGGCCTGCCAAATCGTCTCCCACAATCCTACACAATGACTGACATTGCTGTTTTCATTCTTGATTGCTGCTGTACTGGTTCTGGGCAGCTTTTGGTCGTGGCTGCGTTCCCGTGGCCGTATAATCAACTCCAGGGCATTGTATCAAAGGGTGAGATTAATGTCCTACAGTGGCCATGTCCTTCTGTTGAGGGAAAAGAAGCCAAGACGATGCACCAAACTTTGTAGCCTGACGGAGAAGTCCCCAAACGCAAGGCAATAGCACACAGCAACGGACAAACATGTGCGGCATGAAACAAGCACCTTGTGTTGCTGGCTCTAAGCTGGTTCTACGCACCGTTGACACAAGCAATTGGACGCTGCCAAATTGCCTCAGAGTGTGCACCGCCACAGGCAGCGCGACGGCCACATTGAAGATCCAAAAGATTCGAGACGATTCGCAGCCCTGGAGGGTATCCGCGGCGCCCTTCGTCCACACTCGCACTGCCAGATCACCGGGGCTGGGCGCGATCAACACGTCAGGCCTCTCAGCACCCAACCAAAAAAGAAAACAGAAAAACGAGCACGGTATCCGTCCGTCCGGCAGCCAGCCACGAACGCATCTCGAGAAAACGCCTGGTCCAGAGATTCACCGGCGACGGGGTTGCACAAGAGGGGCAGTGATTCCGTACAGAAAGCCTGATGCCAAAAAGGGCATCGCCGGGGACTACGGTGGCTGTAATGCAGGCCCTGGTGATTGAGGTGCGCCGCCCCGGGCCGCCGCCAGTCGTCGCGGTGCCGCCCTCGCGCAAATTCATGTCGGGTTTCTCTCCCGGGAAATCGAGCCGCCCTGCAACCGGGCGGGTTCGCCTGGGTCACGAGCGCGAGTTCCGCGGTGTGCGATGGGTGGCAAAAAAGGGGGTTGCAAAAGAAAGAATTACGACACCGGGACTTCCCGAGAGATCCCTCATCTCAGTACTGATCCGGCCCACTCGTGCTTGACTTCCAAGTTCTGATGAGTTTGGGTATGTTCACGAGGGAATGGTCGTAACTGGTAACAACCAGAACCAAGACTTTACATATATGCAATGAAGCGATTCGCGCTGTTTTAACAACGCGCTCATTACGCGAATCCTGCACTTGTTCATGCGCTTCAGAAGGTTCTAATGCGGTGCACAACTGGTGCAGTGTACCATGCAACAGTACATGAGCAAGAATGCAGTCGTCATGTGCTTTAAGGAAGAACATTGTTTCGAATTCAGTGCACTTTGTGCTCAGTGGATGCTGAGCTTTTGGACCCCCTCGCCCTCTTGACATCAATCGTTGCGTTGATCTCATGACAGTAACCAAGGTCTGTACATGGCATTGACCCACAATTGCACACAGAATGCGTACATATGCAACACATTGCTGCGACTTTCTTACTTGTGGTTCCAATTGTCTATCTATGGCACACGGCACTGGCAACCGCAGGACACCGATAACCAAAGGCAGTTTGATCGTCCAAAAGCGTCAGCCGCCGATCGCCAAGGTCTGTACTCTGGACCGTCAGTGGACCGTACTCCCCACCAACCTGAAAATACTGTCATGTCTAAACTTGGCACAAATTGCTGGGCACAACGGCAGGCATCCGTTTCGGCCACGATTTGTGCTCGTAGATGAAAGCAGATGGGAACAAAATGTGCGTAAGTCAGGGTATGTGCCTTGAGCGCTCTGAAAGCGCGCATCTTGCGCCATGTCGATCATTTCTATCCATGTTGTGCAGTTGTGTATACGTGCCCAGCACAATTCCGTCGCATTGCGCCGTTTGATTGCCAATCAAACGTGCATGGTTCCGTTGTGACTGATCAAGACCGATGATGAGCAGCTATCCGCGCCGTGTGCACTGGCAAAAAGGACCAAACAACACTTTTTGCCAACACATATGAAACGTGTATCATCAATGTTGTGCACGTTTGGAACACGAAAATAACCAAAACCCATAAACTTTGTACACATTTGAACACGTGTTACTTGGCGCTTTTCCCCTAGCGGTTTCTGCAGGGGACCTTCTGCCTGTGATTCGTATTTGCTCCCTCCCCAATGGAGAACCAGCGCCCAGTTGCTCTGGGAGGGCTCTGACTCATGCCACTTGCCTGGGATTCGCCACCATCGAGCGTCAGTGCTCTGGGCTTCCGCCCCAGCGCATCCGTCCATTTCCAAGCGCGACCCAATGCGCGCCAACTGCGCACCGTCAATTAAATTGCCATTCGCAGGATGCCTTCCACATGCCTGAACTCAAATTGGACCAATCAGAGTTCGCTGCACGCGTTGCGGCCTTCCGTGAAAACGCTTCAACCCTGACTAACCCTGGGTTTATCCTGAAAAAGGCGTGTTTTAGGAGAAGTGGTACAAGTGCTGGATTAGCAAAGCCACTGCCATCCCTCACGGAGCCCAACATCCTCGCACCCTGTATCCCCAAACCGAAAGTTCTGTTCCATTCCTGGTTCGTGCTGATTCGACAGCTCCTCCCGATTTCCTAGTGCATTCAGTCCGACCGTCCCGACCCCCTTTCCTAACAGTTGACCTCCTCGGGGCGAACGATCTGATAACAACGGACGCTTGAATTCATTCAGATTCCACCTTGATGTCTCTCGGAGACGCTAAGAAGTCCCCGCACTTTCTGTGCTTTGGCCGCCACGCGCCAAGGGCACCGCTCAAGTGGAGACATGCCCTTCCCCCAGTGTTCCCAGTTGCCCGACCACTACGCAAGTCAACTACCAACGGGGCGGCCTCGACGGGCCTTTCCAGAGATGTTCAACGATGGCTGCATGCCGAAAGTTCACAAAGGCCACGGCGAAATGGCATGGAGCTCGACGAAGGCAGAGCGCCCAGTAGCTGCCGTGCTATTGAAAAACCCCCTTCACCACAATGGGGTCAGACTATGAAGTGGAAACCACGCTGTGTGTGGGTTTATTTGTGCTATTTTCCACTCCAGCCAGTGTCTCGGTACAACACAAAAACAGAAAAAAAATCAACTTGGTACAAAACTGATTGACAACAGAACGCCTGATAGCTGCCTTTCTACTGTGAAATCACCTTTCATCACATAGGGGTTGAATTTCGGAAATAGGCAAGACGCAATGCTTAGTTTCTGTCTGTTCAACGGCCTACTACTCCAGTGTCTGAATAAAGCCCAGAAGAGCAATCCAGCTGGCCCAAACTAAGTAGTTAGAGTATACACTGCCACCAGACTGCTTGTGGGCTGCATTTCTATTGGAAAATCCCAATTCATCGCAATGGGGTCAAACTTCCAAAACAACCACCACGCAGTCGTTTCCACCTCGACTGCCACGACATGAGAACCGCCTGGATTTCAAACTTGATTTGATCGGCCACCACGATGGCCTCTATTCTGAGGACGTCGTCTTGGGAACGCCCCCCGAGTCTTCCAGCCCCAGCCATCGCCCAACCGCTTCCCCGCCGTGCTGGTGCATCTCGAACTGCACGTCGGTCGACGCCGTGGCTACCACGCTGGCCCAGACGCATCAAAAAGCCTGCGGACCCCACGGGCCCCCGGCCAACAGCCTAATCCATCAGCAACTCATCTTCGCAGGCACAGCAACTCCGTCATTCAAGCAACGCGGACAGAAGCACAATCTTTCAGCGCCCCACCTGCGATCCAATTCAGCCCTCGCCACATTCTCGCCACATTCTGGCGGATTTCGGACTGATGGTCGCTTCCGACACACTTTCGACTTCTGCCGCATCCGATCGCATCCGGCCGATGCGCGTTGCCACGAGCGCCGATTCAGAGGCACGGCAGCTTGGCGCCCGCGGCGTGGGGCACCCTGTTCTTGGGTGGCGGCAGGTAGACGAATTCGACCCCCGCAACGGGCTGCAGGACGTCAACCATGTAGCCTGTCGATTGGCATTCACGCATCAACAGGCTGACAAGATTTTGGGTGCGCAACACACTCTTGGAAACAAACAACTGAAAGCAGTGGTACAGGGTTCAGCTAGCAAGTCGGCAGACATTTGTGCAATGTTGTGGCTGCATTACCATTGATGTGTTGCTGAGCACCGCTTCAACAAATGCCCATACGCAAATATTGACGAGCGTCGATGCACATGCGAATGTTGCGTCAATGCTGATGCACTGGCCTTGCTGTGCTGTTGTTCGTCGTTCCGTCGACGATACTGTACACACAGTATCGCATCGCTGTCTACCGTTTTTCCGGATGGTCAGTCTTTTATATTGCTTGGTTTTACCAGGTTCCCCTGATGATGTGGATAATAATTATCCATGCCCTGGACGCCATGCGTGGAAACAGCAACAGGTCCTAGGAAGAAGCAGGGCAGGTCAATGTGTTGATTCTGCATCGAAAACGGTTAAGGGTTTTTCTCCATCGCTGCGCTAAAATGCGTTTGTCTTTGCCCACTACTTTGTCTACAACCCCTTCACTCTGTTCTGTGTGCAGGTCGCGCTGAATTTGCAGTCGTCTTCAATCGCTGAGATCATGCATTTTTAGACACAAAACACATCCAATACTTTTGCACTGTCAAGAAATCGTGTTGAGGCATAAAAAAGACATCAGATCTTGAACTTTGTTGTACCCCTTTTGTCATACTCAAGATTCAATGACTAGCCAATTTTGATATCTGGCAAGCTCTTGCTGGTCATTGGAAGGTGGAAGATTCTGTGTGCTATTGCTGCGATATGAACACACCTGTGTACGTACGATTGTCGTTTTGTCATCGTGTAACAGCCTTGCATGCAAAATTGGTGCGAGAACTGCTGCAAAGTACTTTGATAGATCAAAGTACAAGATCTTGTACACTCATCACAACATGCGCAAAAAATTCACCCCCCCTTTCAAGAGAATTTCCCAAAGATCTTAATGTATGTCGGTGTCCCATTTGTAGAGACAGGGAGCAGGTAGTCGTGCATCTATTCAGAAATTGAATTACCAAAGAGAGAATGAGCAAATAAGCAAATAAGCAAACAACCATAAGGACAATGTATGCTGCCTCCGTTTCAAAATGAATGGCGGTTATGATTTGCGGTCTTGGAGACACCCATCACAACATGTCCAATAATGCTCAAATTTTGAGACATTTAACTGGCGATGCAGCATGCTTTTTGAGGCGAGATGAAACAGCCTGAGATTTAATATTCTGAGGTAGACGAGGGTGATTCTTACAGATCTGACGCCTGGACTTTCCGTTTTTGCCATTTTGTTGTACGTTTCAGCTGAACTTCACACTGATTTTGCTGCTTTTTATATCTGCCGTTCTCTTTGAGACAGAGGAAGTGGGTATGTAAGCATATCAATGGATCAGTCAACCAATGGGCAGAACTGATAAACCATTCATCCATCAGTGAGCCGGTCAATTAATCAGCGGGTAATCAATCGACCCATCTTTCCACACATCGATGATATACATTTCAATTGACCAAAATGAGAAAGCCTCAGGCCACGTGGCTGCTCACGCCTCACCTGCATGTTTCCCCTCCACAAGGTCCTTGTATCGAGACACAGCGCCGAGGAAAATGGCGACGGCCTCCCTGACCGCTTTTGGGGAGCCCTGGCAAGTTGTGGCCAGCACCAGGATTAGGTCTGGCAGCAGCTTGCAACAATAGCGACTGCGCAAAAACTGTTTTTGTGGTGTAATATTCTGCAATCAAAACGATAACAACAGTGCAAAATGTATACGTAGAAATGGGTAAATGGGTGAGGTGGGGCATGTAGATAATGATCCGCTGCAGTCCTTTCTCACTTTCAGTGCCATAGCTCACCAGTGAACCTTTGCGCAATATATGCATAGGACCCAGTGAGCGCTTTTGGGCAAAACGCGAACGCACCCAGAAGTCCATGGTGCTTTCCCGTCTCAATTCATTAGAACAAACACAAAGACAAACGTGATTCACTTTGATCGCTGATCTGGCAGGACTCCCCCCAGATGTTGAATTTTTCTCATATGATTCTTGAAATTAAATATTCTTTTAAGTTCGAACAATTTGGGGCTTTACATCGCCTTGCACGTGCTTGCTCAATGGCACAAAGCCCACATATCTTGTGGTAGGACGGCGGAAATGTGATGCACTACTTTGGAATCCAAAAAAAGAAAAAAGTCCTTGGTGCTGTTTTGTGCAAATTTTGCTGAAAATGCGTATATTTGGTGGCTGAATCTTTTCACATATATTACGCACATTGGAATGAAGGACCTGATTGTTGCATGTGATTCATTGCAAATGCCTACCCCGATTACAAAAACACGCAGCCTCTCCTTTGCTGGTGCGGCAGACTTCTTGATGCTCCACGAGGAGATTTCCGCTCCTGTCCTTGCCACGATGTCTCGAATCGAACTGCCACCTGGACCTGCACAACATTAATCCAAATTATCAATTATGCGAAACGAAAATCAATTACATTTTCTATTGGTTTACATAACTGTGCTTTCATTCAATTGCAAATATCAAACTCCTTTGAGAACAAGCGACAGAACACAATGGAGTAAAGTTCTAAATCCTGAACCACATCTTCCTGGCGCAATGTAGTAAATTTTTCAGATTCTATCAACGCAGCACATCTGGGCACAGGACACACAGTTGTTGAACAGATCCTGGCGACTTTTTGCACAGTTCAAACATGAATTTTAACCTCTTCTGGTAAAAGAAGTGACATCAGGCTCATAACCCTGCAGTACTTGCTTGCACCACTCTTTTTCTAGCAGTGTGCTAGTGCATGTCAGATCTCTTAAATCGCTTGCAGAAGGCAGCTGAAGATTCTTTGGAACTGAAATGATAATGGACAATAGGACATTGTACATTCTCACAGCGAGCAAGTTTGTTGTTAAGCGTTGCATCGATTCTTGCCATGTACTGTGATGGTGCTATCTTCACCACATTCTAAGTTCTAATATTGTCCGCACTATTGTGCGTCTTTGCATTAATCCTACCCCCCACCCACCCACGTGCCCACCCACACCCACACCCACACCCACACCCACACCCACACCCACACCCACACCCACACCCACACCCACACCCACACCCACACCCACACCCACACCCAAAAAAAAGTGTGAGGAACACTACTTTCAGCAATCAGGTGACTAGTATCCTCATTTAAGTGTGAGGCTGGCAACATGTTAAGCTTTCAAATAATGTACAATGACGGCAGATAGGGAATAATTCTCTAAATCATAGATATTATAATGAATTATGAATTACCAATACCATAAATCTATTCCCCGTAAATGCACTTCTACAATCGCACCAGTAACTGGAAGATGATGATGAGCTACTCATCATAACACAACAGTACTATTTTGCTCACCAATCAGAAAACCCGCGACCAACAGCGTCGTGCGCAATTCAATGGCCCTGCAAAATGTGCACATGATCAGTCACCATTATCGTGGCAGAGCCAGAGAGCGCAAGCTGAACCCAGAATGCCTATCTCGCCATTGGGACGTGGAGGAGGCTGGAACAAAACGAATGAGACACAAATCTAGATGACTATTAGTCATCATTTCTGACCTGATGAAAGGCAGCTTGGCAGTGGACGGGTGGCTGTTTCCGCCTACTCGTTAGGAACTGCTCAGGAGGCACTGTGAAGCATATGCGCTTGAATGGACATTGTTTTACTGCACGGCAGCAACACTAATCCCTGTGGTGAGAATCGAGCTCTTTTTTGGGAGAACTTTGGGGAATATTCCCCAAAGTTCTCCCAAAAAGGAGCTCGATTCTCACCGCATTAATGCTCTGTGGGTTCCTGGTGTAATGAGCGAATGATACAGCACCAGCACACATTCATGGAGCTAAGGCTTCGCTTCACGAATGTGTGTTGGTGTTATATCATTTGCTCATTTATACCAGTTAATAAGATATGATCTTAGCCTCATTTCGCTTTCAAGGTGCAAGGGCAGTAACCTGTCAGCTGCGTTTCAAAAAAGCAGCGGACAGACGCCAGTGAACAACACCACCTACCACGTGCACTGATGCAATGGGACTGCCCCCTAAAACAGATATCCAAAGGAGCACGAAACATTGCTGCCGCCCAGCACTCAAGACATTCAATGCTCTGCCGCATGCACGATTTCCCACAGCGACGTTCCCCATTCCCAGGCGTGGTATTTACACCGTACAACAAATCGTATTTACATTCTTATACACAAAAACGCGAAAAATACGTAAATACAACACAACTACAGCCCCATGTACATGAGCACAATACGGACTTGGGGGGTCCGGGGAGTCGCAGTCAGATGTGCTGGAATGGGCAGAAACGAACTTTTGTTCCGTGCCATCGCTGCCCTTGCCGAGGGCGAGGTGGACACTGTGTTGTGGGTGCTGTAGACGGCGGACGACTGGTCATTGTATGCGACTTCCATTGTGTAATCTGGGTGTCCCAACTATCCGCAAAAACGTAAACACAACGTAAATACCAGCCCTGCTCATTCCCACCCGCGCTTCAGAGCGGCTGAATTTGAAATGCGTGATAAGAAAATCTTCACCACATGGCGTTAATGCGTGGTACACAATGCGCTTGTGTACTTATATGTAGTATAAGTATATAACATATACTTATACTTATATGTACTTATACGCTTGTATACTACTATTCTGCACTCTGAGACAATCGCAAAGTGCGCATTTTTTTGAAGAATCCAATCTTCCCCGGTTCGGCAAAGCTTTAGTTTCATAGGTGTCAAATCGCCCACGCGCACTTTGCCAACATTTCAGACAATTCAAAATCATTTATATTTATATTTGTTCAATTCTGTATCACCGAATCCGTTGGCTTCCCTGAGCACAACGCCATTTACTCTCTTCCAGTCATATGGCACAGGCGCTTAATAAGCACGTGTCTGTCATGTGGCAACGGAAGTACAGTCATTCGACTTCGGCTCCCACCCGCTCTTTAAAATGCGCGCCCCCGTAATGCCCTGGGCCACAGTCTCGGCGCCGCCTTGCATCTTCGCGGTCCCTGACCACCAGAGCAACGAAAACATTGGTAAATAACTGGATGACGTAATGGCACGTAATGGCATTAAGTGCACAGTTTTGAGCATGTGTCTGAGCAACATAGAAAACACGGCAACTCAAACGCTGACCACCAAAGCATAAAAAAGTAGACACAGTCATCGATAACAAGAAAGGCGTACCCCTGGAAAAGGACAAAAGGGGCAGGAAAGACAAAAAAGTTTATCCTGGACATTCACTTACCGTACTTGTCATACTATGAGTTACATTAATAATTGCTTCTGTGGAAAGTGGAAAAAAGTTCATTACTTTATAGTACTTGCTTAATACTAAATTGTCCTGAAAGTGTGCGCATATTGTGCACAATATTCGTAGGTTCCGAGGTGGGAGCTTTTGGCCACTTCACAGCAAGAGCGGGGCATATGTCCCACATTCTCAATCGCCACCATAAATGCAATAACCACATAATGGCAATCGTGTGCAACAATATCACAATATTACGAATGGGCTTCCTGAAAACAAAACAGCCTCTTTGTGCATGCGTTTGCATTGGCATTAAATGTTTGCTGTTTCATCGTGGAAAGTGAGATGCACGCAGTATCCATTATGAGCTTAGCAAATGCTGCCAAGATCCTTGGACAATGGAAAAGTACAGCGCGCATGGAAATGCTTTGAACCCGCGCGACTCAGACCAAAAAGTCAGAAAACGCATCCCCCTTGGCTTCCCTCCCAAAAAAGAAAAAGAAAAAATGTCAAGGTGAATGGATTGCCTTGCGATTCGCCATGTGCAGCGCAGAGTGGATACTGTTACTGTCGTTTTGGCTGGTCAGAGTCCTACTGGCAGATCACAGACCCAGGTTCTGTGCCATTGGATTGTTGATAACGACTATGGCGTCGGTGGTTCAACACACTCTCATGTGCAGGTCAGAATTTACAAACAGAACGAGTACATTATTGCTGTGGTTCCGAAAATGGCCACTGCCAAGGCCGGAGCTGTCACAAGTACTAACACCACCAAGACAAGTGCGGAAGGAAATTGGGTTATTATCTGTGCATGATTCGAAGATCACCAGAACAACTGGACTGAGCAATTCCCACAAGGAGGATCTTCTTTGCGGCATATACCATTCTGAATTTTGTACCTGCCAGATGGCACCCATGCAAGGACAGAAGAGCTTCCACTGTACAGACACTCAGGTCATCTGGTTATGCACCCACACCTTCTCCCAACACATTGGTGTCACTTTTTGGCGGGAGAATTTGGTGCTGAGGTAGGACGCCTGTGATGAACAAAGTGGCTACGATGAACTCAATCACTCTGCAAGCTGTCTCAGGCACCCAGAGAACTAGTGGCATTGGTGAATCTCAGACATGCTGGCATGCCACCACAGAGGATGGCAGGAACCTCCAGAAATAAACTGTGGTGACAAGCGGGTCCTGGGATCACTGTTACCAGCCCATCTCAACGATTGCTGATGGTTAAGCGCCTGAGATGCATTTGGCAGCACTTCAGTTTGACAGCACCATGAAGTCCATGGGAAGAGCCTCCACTCGCGTGTGGCGTATCCCCTGATTCGGAGTGCCATTTTGCTGGCTCAGTGGAAGACTATTGTTCCAATTTGAGTCGCACGGGTTCAAAGACACAACCCTATGATGGGTGCCACACAAAGTGCACTTGCCCATCACCTGCACTTTGGAACAGCAAGCAACAAGCTAATGTTGTGCAGAGTCCCATATCGTGGATAACGAACAGGATGTGGGCACCATGTTGCGAACTCGGCCACACTCTAAATGTGCAACTTGTTCAGACGTCAATTAGGGTAGGTCGGTTCAAATTTCAACAAAATTAAGTAATTTCAATTAAGCATGTGTTCAATGGATATACGAGGTCCCCAGAAGATATTTTCTTTTGAGCCTAGTTCAAAGGGGATACAATTTCGGAGAGCGAAAGCCTATTGATAGCGTCCAGTGCAGGACAGCCCTCAAGGCAGATGAAGCCGGTGCAGACTCACCCTGCGTTTCTGGATGGTGCACCCCATTCTGCATCCTGCATTGGAGCCTCTTCTGCCTTTCTGGTGCATTACATGGAAACCGCCCTTGATCGTGCTCCTTGGTCTGACCCGGTGGCTGACCCGCACGGACCCTCATCGAATCCTCGCCACCCAGTTTCCGCCCATCCGGGGCGATCTTTCGCAGCGCTCGATCCAAGAGTTCGTCCATCTTCCACTGGTGAAATTGGCACCGAAACACACGGCCAGCGTTTAGTCGGACGATGTGGTCCGCCGTTAGCAAAGGCGGACGACGCTGGCAAATGGCGTTCATCAAACCACCACGATCCGAACACAGGACGAAGCTGTGTGAAAGGTTGATTTTCCAGTTACTTATTCTTCAATTCAAATTCAATGAATGGGTTACATCTATTTCAGGCATTTTAGATTTTATCAGTGGAAGATATCTTAGACTCGTCCAGCCCTACTTTTCAATGTTCAACGGCAATTGACCCCAACGCATTTCGTCCTTTCTGCACCTTTTCCCCTTTTCCTTTCGCCCTCGGGCTTTTCTTATCGCTCGCTACTTTCCCTCCTAGCTTTTGCCTCAACGGCAAGACAGGGGAACCCGAGTCGCAGCTAGGGAGAGTACCTTCTACAAAGCATCCGCACAGCGTCGGGTCTGCTTTGTTGTCGGCGCGTCAGCTGATGACGCGAGCTGTGGGGGCAGGTGAAAGTTCTTCTCCGCCTGCGCGCGGACGGGACCAGCCTGATTTTAAACGAAGAAGCTCTCTTCGCATCGCTCCTTCAGTCATCACGGCATTTACAATCGCAACCTCAGAATTACCAACCCACGGCAACGCACACGACATTGCGTCTACTGCACGCAGGGGGCCACGCAACACACGCAACATCGGCATAAAATTACTGGCTGCACCACATCGGTGACTGCTTGCACCAAGTCACGTGCACATCATGTCCAACTCCGTCCAAACTAACCTAACCTAAAACCTAAAACCTAAACCTGTCCTAACCCCAACCCTCACCCTAAAACTCACCCTGAAACTAAACCTAACCCTAAAATTGAGGTTAGGACAAAGTGTGCACGTGACTTGGTGCAAGCAGTCACCGATTTGGTGCAGGCAGTAATATTGTTTCTGCAACATCTGGGGTATCCACGCGGCATGCGCCAGGCCCTTTCGAGCTGACGCAGTCCGATTCGCTGTTCAGCACGCGCTGACGGCGTCCCTGGACCCCAAAACGAACCGCCGGACACCCTTCACCGGAAACGGAAACCTACGTCTGAAGTACTACTGAAGTACAGCATCGTATATATACACCCTCATCTGTGTCACGGCTGCGTTCGCCCGTCACCATGACGCGTCTACGACACGGGACACCTCCAGGTATGCACTGAGCTTTCGGGGTTGTCTCGCAGGTGTGTGTACGTACGGACGCGAACGAGTGGCTCGTGTACTTGCCCGAGGAGCGCTTGGCCGCGTACCGAAACGGACCTCTGGCGCTGGGGCGGCAGAGGGGGCACGCGAGCCTCCGCTTTGGTCAACCTGCACCATCCTCGAGGGGCCGAAGGGACCGTCCGATGGATCGCGACGCCAGACTTGCTTTCCGGAAGCGAGGCGCCCCAACGGGCAGCCGCGTGGCTGCGCGACGAGCGGCGAAGGTTGTGTCGTACGGCTCAACGTTAAGGAAGGATGGGGGGGAGGAAGGGGGGAGGGATGCCGCGGCAGTTCTTGCCTTAACTTTGGTCGATTGTGCAATCCCTGGATGGGGGCGTGTCCGCCCCGTCGACCTCGCCAATTTGGATGTCGGCATTCCGAAGGCGGTCCCACGCGGGGCGCCTCCATCGGCGGGTTGAACGCGGGGGAGCGGCCCCCCGATCGCGCACGCGGCGAGCCGGCGGGGCAGTCGACCAGAGAGGGGAGCCGTCCGGGCGGTGGTGCGGCACGGGGCGATGACTGAAAGCCGGCCTCGGCGGCGATCGTCGGACGGCGGACGGAAATAGGCGCGTGTCGGCCAAGCGGAGGCCCCGATATAGCCAGGCGAGGGCCCGCCCTCCCGAAAGAGGCCGGGATGCCTTGCGCGCCCCCCGCCAACAAATTGATCGGGACCGGGAATGTCCGGGTGGCCAGCCACGCGCCCCCTGCGCCAGTCAGCGCGCCCCAGACGGCTCCGCGCAATTTGCGCCAATCGCACCAAAGGTGTGACAGAGAACGAGCAAGAGGGAGAGGGGCACGAGCATGAGGGCTCTGCGGCCGGGGCCCCGCTGAGAACCCCGCAGGCCATCCCGACGTCCGCCTCCCTGAGCCGCGTCACACCACGGGGTCGGCGTCCCAGATAATCCCACCCACCCCTTCGCCGGCCTCAAAGCCCCGTGGCGGCATTCGCATCGCGGCAGGGTCTCCGGGAAAATTTTCCCCACGCCGCGGATCGCTCACCCGCTTTGCCTTCTTTGCGACCCCGCGCCAGTCCACCGCGGCACGTCGCAGGAGCCGCAGGTCGGACGGGCCCCGGCGGTCGATGTCCCGATCCCCTGATCCGAATCCCTGCTTCCTCGGAACAAAAAGTGGTGCGTTCGGCCGGAGGGGGCGAGATGCAAGCGGCGGGGGGGCGCGCCAGAGACAGCCCCTTGGCCGCCGCCAGGCAGGGCGCGGGGGGCCTGCTTTATTTATCATGGGTGTCGCCAGCGCAAACTTCTCGAATCACCCTGACGGGGGGACTAGTAAGGCGCACGTGCAGCCAACCTCTGGCCCCAATTTGAATCCCAGCGACTAGGCATGCACAATTCGGACCGCGAGGAGGATTCAGATCCGGATCATCATGTGCCCTGGGCCCCGGGGCCCGACTGGCGGCCTGCGATACTCAGGGATTTGAAGTACGAAGGAGGGCAGGTGGACGGGCACAGTCGCGGGGAGCCATGCGGTTTGGCGCCAAACTGTGCCGTCCCAGTTACGTTACTGTAACGTCGTCGCCGTCACTGTGCGGTGATGCCCGCGCTCAACGCCAAAACGGCGTTGTTTGAGTAACAAAATGGCGTTTTGGGGTAGTAAAATGGCGTTGTTGGCGTCACCACAGCGGTGGTTTCTGTCGTTGGGGGCGGCGCGCCAGGAAGTGGTAGGGAAGCTCTGTAGTGGGCACAGACGGGTGGTGGGGACGCCTTGACCCCTTGCCGGGTCATTGCACGCGTCGCACACAATGCATACAATGTCGTATGGCGGTACGCTGCCGTATGCAATGTCGTACGACACTGGGCGTGTTCGCGCTGCCGCCCGCTCGCTGAAAATGGTGTCGTCAAGCCCCTGACGACGCCAAACCAAGTGGAGTTTGCTTTGGGGCTTGAGGGTGGATTTTGAGCGGCCGGGCCATTGTCAGATCGTGCAGTCTTGTTGCCAGGGGGGACGGGGTTGTTCTCTGCCTTTGTGCGTGCGTATGCGCTTTGGCTTAAGATCCACATGCAACCGTGTGCACCACAGGGGCGCATCCCCTGCATGCGCATTTCCCCAATGTTGTGGGTGTCGCCACAAATTTCATACGAATCCCAGCAGCTCGGCAAATGCGCACCGCTGCCGCATTTCTCAAACATTGCATTGATGGAAATTGCTATTGATGTTGGTGGCAAATGCATATTGTAGCTGTACATGTAACATTGATGTTGGGGGCAGGTGCGTCAATTACGCGTGGTTTGAGTTGATTGAGGTGTTTAGACAAACTAAAAG